TATAAATATAAATTATAATTTAAACGCTTGTTATGTTTTAAACAATGACAAAATAAACGGTAATATAAAAGCTTAAAATAGATGACTAATTTTACTAATCTAAAGTTATTTCCATATACTATTCGAAACGTTGTGGTTGGTTATTTTCAAATGCTCACCGTTTGAGAACTATTGATACCTTAAGATTTTGCTATTAGGATTTTCGATTTACTTTTTCACGAGGAATATACGTACCAGGTCCTCCGTTAAGTCTGGAACACCCTGTATATATAAGGGTATCCCATATGTCCCGGACCGTTGAATATATCGGAAAGTATGCACTTTTGAGAAAAATGTTTCAGACAAATGTTGTAATATATAAAGTGATGTATGTAGTGACTAGCAGTTTGATTTTGGGTGGCGTCGCCAAGGTCAAGTCAAGATTATATCAATTTTTTTTAAACAGAATGCCCTATTTTTGATGCTACAATCTAATAGCTGATGTCAAGAACTTTACAAAACACTATAATAAAGTCATTTTTCGTTAAGCACTTTTCGAGTTATAAGATTTGAGTGTTACAGTATCGTCGGCATTAGCATTAGGCAATGTGTCTAACCAACAGTTAAAACCTCTTGAATGCTGTTCAAGATCATGTTCTAGATAACATTTGTCAAAACCATTAGACGTTATACTTTTTATTTTCATTTTAATGTAAAAATAAATTTTTAATGCAAAAATTAAAATGAGAGGAATAATCTCCAGTGGCCTTGATCTTGACAAATGTTATCCAGGACATGATCCTGAATAACATTCAAGAGGTTTTAGCTGTCAGTTGGACACATTACGTAATGCTAATGCCGGCGACACTGTTACTCTCAAGCCTCATAACTCGAAAAGTGCTTAATGAAAAATGGCTTTATTATAGTGTTTTGAAAAGCTCTTGGCACCAGCTATTAGATTCTGGCATAGGGCGTTCTACTTAAAAAAATTGACATGACCTTGACTTGACCTTAGTGACGCAACCAAACTGTTAACATCATTAAATACATCACTTTATATATTGCAAAATTTGTCTGAAACATTTTTCTCAAAAGTGCATACTGTCCGATATTTAGCCGGTCCGGGACATATTGGACACCCTGTGTATTTGGTGTATCATTTTAATTGACGTATTAAAATATCTCTTCAACAGTTTATTTTAAAGAAAAATGTTTCACACAAAAGTTATATGGTTAGGAGGGGGATATAAGATGGTGCTATTGGTTTGACCTTGGAAAGTTGTTTGAAGATCACGTAAAGGTCATCATCAATTTCTTAAATGAAACTCCATATATTTTATTGCATATTCTTGTAGTTTACCTAGAAAGCTTTCCAAAACACTATAATTAAGTCCATTTTTATTAAGTACTTTTCGAGTTATAAGGCTTGCAAATTACAGCACCGCCGGCACATTACCTAAGGTGTCCGACCGATGGCTAAAACCTCTTGAATGTTGTTCAAGATCATGACCTGGATAACATTTGTCAAGATCAAAGCTATTGGAGGTTGTATCTCTTATTTTCATTTTTACCTAGAAATGTAATTTTTAGTGCACAAATCAAAATAAGAGATACAATCTCCAATAGCCTTGATTTTGACAAACGTTATCCAGTTCATGATCTTGAATAATTTTCAAGAGGTTTTAGCCGTTGGTCGGACATCTTAGGTAATGCTTAATGTCGGCGGTGCTGTAACTTGCAAGCCTCGAAAAGTACTTAATAAAAATGAACTTAATTATAGTGTTTTGGAAAGCTCTCCAGGTAAGCTACAAGAATATGCAACGAAATATATGGAATTCCATTTAAGAAATTAATGATGACTTTTATGTGACCTTCAAACAACTTTCCAAGGTCAAACCAATAGCACTACTTTATGTCTCCCTCTACCCTCTAAACCATATAACTTTTGTCTGAAACATTTTTCTTTAAAATGCACTATTCAAGAGATATTTTAATGCATCAATTAAAATGATACACTCTGTGTGTATATATGTGTATATATATATATATACACACACACATATAATAAAAACAGATGTAAATGCACTTAGAGGCATCTAATATATTTTTGTATAGGCTGCATTCTACACACTTATAATTGTATAGAAATTGAATTGTATGATTTCCATACAATGCGAATGTTTTGCACCGATCGATCTGTAACTTGCAACGCTAACATTCTTTTCAGTACAATATTTAATACACATGAGGAAGTACAAATTACTCTAAATGAATTTGTTTTACACAGAATGGTCACTTTGAATTTTTTAATAGAACCCTTCGTTATTTATTGCATATTTTCATAGCATATCTCGAGAGCTTTTCAAAACACTATAATAAAATATTTTTTATTAAGTACTTTTTAAGTTATGAAGTTTGAAAATCATAATACTACCGACATCATCATTACCCAAAGTGTCCGACTGATAGCTAAAACATCGTGAATATTATTTAGGGTCATGAACTTGATAACATTTGTTAAAATTAGTGCCACTGGTGGTCATTTTTTACGTAAAAATTTAAATACAAAGAATAATCTCCAATGACCTTGACTTTGATAAATATTATCAAGATTATGACATTGAACAAATTTAAGAGATTTTAGCCGTCAGTCGAACACCTTGGATGATGCTAATGCTGGCTATTTAATAGCATTTTTCACTGGCAGAGCTGGTGTGCACTCAATACACTTTAAAGCCGTTGTCTACAAATCAATGTAAAGATGTACGTTTAATAAAAATTAATAGATTAAAGTACCAAAAAATTCAGAAAAGTAGAAGTCAACGCGGTAGTTAGTGCGCTAATATAATATTAGACATAAATTTCTATTGTCTCTTCTGTTAGACATACATTTAATTTCGTATGCGTTTCGATTTGATTTAAGTCATTCTCAACGAAATACATAAATTAAAATTATACTATCCTGCAATCTGTGCAATTCTGGTGCCAACCATCCGCCTTACTGCGATGTGTTTCGATGATTTAATAAAAATATAAAAACGAATTAAACCGCGAAATCCTCAATATATTTTATTGTGGTATTTGATAAAATATACATTGGATATTTTATTAATTGAGATATCTCACTTTTACATTCAGATTAAGTTAGTGTACAACAGCTTTAATGTGCATTGAGTGCGCACTAGTTCTGCCAGTGAAAAACGCTATAAATTTTGACAATTCATATTTTGAAAAATACTCAACCGAGAAGTTTCATTATAGTATTTTGAAAAATTAAACTTCAAAAATATGTAATAAAAAATGTGAATTACATTTTTTTAAATTTCAAAATTACCGTACCTTGACTTTAATAACGCTACTCAAGATCAATTCAATGATACCATTTTATGTCCCTCTCGACGTTATAAAACTTTTATCTGAATATATTTTTCATTCGACGCGTACTTTTAGGGATTATAACTTGTAATGCTTTAAATGTCCCATATGTATATAAAAATACGAAGTCTATTAAATATAAGCAGCAACAATTATATAACTGATAGAATAATTTATTAAATAAAATTTGTACCGTTATAGCATGAATCAATTTTAAAGTATTGCTGTATGGTGTTTGGCTTAATGTCATGTCCTTTTATTTATGAAAGGCGTTTAAGAAATCTGTTATTATTGTAGCCTCATAAAAATAATTTTTTAAAATATTAATTTGAAAAATGGATGTTAATAGCTTTGCAACATCATATGATCGATCGGAAAATCCAGAATGTAGCAAATAAAATTATACTTATTTATTGTTTCAGGAACGTTGACTGTAAACGTGAGCGTATTGCTGTTAAGCTTAGCTTCTCCTGACGAGTCCAGTCTGGTAATATAAATATATCTTAATCACGTTAATAAAAAAAATAATATAATAATTATGATATTAAAGATTCAATATTAAAGAATAATACAAATTTAAAATACAAAGTTCATCTTTTTTGATAAAGACTATAGTCGACGGCGAGCAGAAGTGGCCCTAACTTGAAAAACTTTAAATTTATGAAATAAAAAGACATTTCTCTAAAAAATTAATTCAAACCCTACAGTATTATTTATATATACATATATATATATATATTTGAGTAAAGTAAGTTAATAGTAACGCTATTAACAGTATCAGTGCGCTCTTCGCCGTAATGAAGTAAATAGTAAGATTCACGAAACATTAGCATTAGTGATGGATGAAAACAGCGATAATCCGCAAACGTTCTAGTACTTTTGAAGATAATACCTATGAGAGCCTAAAATGCTTTGTAAGTTAATAGTATTTCTACAATTAATATTAATGCAGTCGTTCTGACAATGACAGATTGAAGAATACTTCGTCCTGATAGTGCGGTTATATGTGGCATACGGCATGCAGAGAGAGAGGTTTGATTTATTTGGGCCAGGTTCTAAGAAAAACCTGCCGGCGACGGTGATTTGTTGGCTCTGCTTTCCTAATGTTTCCTGTGGTCGTAACTCCTCCTTGTGCTATGGGAACATTTGTATGACTTAAGTATCCTATGATTGATGAGCGAGACTATATTATATTCCTCTTGTTACTCTAGTGGACTGCATAGTGATCCATGACTAGCTAAGCGGCGCGTTGAACCAGGAGGTGTTATCAGAGCAAGAGGGATCCTTTTGACTACGTTGTGACTATCAGCCCCTCACAGCACTTGTAAACCAAAAAAACTCTAGGCTGCTGTGGCTGATGATCAATCGCAATTTAGTTGAATGGGTCTCTCTTGATTAGGATTGATACTTTGAAAAGAAATGCTGGCAAAACCAGACGGTAGACTCGAATGTTCTCTCGTTTACTCAAATATATAGGAGGTTTTGTGCGTCTGGGCTCCGATAGATCTAGAAGATGCAATCGGTATGTTCCTTCGCTGCTTCTGTTAGGCTGCTAAGAATGAGTATTTGATACCGCTGATAGGATACCAAGGATTCCTAGCGGAGAAATAGTCAACTCGACGTCCCTAGAAATCCCTAGTCTTACATGCTCCCAAGGGGCTACTACAATTAGCTTTCTTGAAGGAAGTGTCTTAATATCCTTCCGGACAAAGTGGTCAGATACCTCTGACATGAAAGTCAGGGACCGCTAACATAGGAGTAACGGCTGGGTACTATATTATTATTATGGGTACTATATATATTGCAGTCAATGCGCTCATGATCCTTTTGTTCATTGACTATGCGTTCAAAACTAACAGTCAGTCCATCCTCCAGGACATGAGAACCAATGGTAGAGTCCGCAAGGCCAAAATGCGCCTCCCCCTCCAATCTATCGGCGTTCCTCAAGGACAACCTGCCTTGCAGCCAAATTAGCAGTTAGGCCGCCCATCTGATAGGCCTTGCAGTAGACAGACGATTTGTCGCACTCTCGACTTGCCCAAAACGCTGAAGTATTCCACTGAATTCAATTATTTTTGTGTTAAAAACCTTCAACATGGGCTCAACGTTAAAAGACCAAAACTAGACTCATTCAAACAATCACTGAATAAATAAATAAATAAATAAATAAATGAAATGCACGCAAAACTAATTAAAAGACTATGCCCCGTATTTATAGTCGTGTTTCTCTTCGTGAAAAACTCAGTTGAAACCAATCTTGAAACATGGAACAGTTCATTAGAATCTTGAGAGTTGATTTGATATTCATATAATCTCACATTTATAATTGCAATTCTATTGAGGAACACAGATGAAATTTGTTTCGACATATAACTTGAATCCTCTTTTTCACAATTCAATAGTCGAATCTTGAAAAAAATATCTCGTAATACGTAAAGGTAAATCGGGGGAAGACGCCACACTTAAGCCTTTATTCTTGAATGAATATTCTTCTTCATATTATTGCATTAATCTTTGAAAAAAAAAATTTATACTACAAAGCTTTTTCTATTTGTAAAAATTAATAAATTAAACTTTTGGTATTCTATATAAATGAAAAAAATTGGTATGTCATAACCTCCAAAAGTGGCATCTTCCATCTATACATACTCAATCCCAAAAAAAGCGGTCTAAAAATTTGAGAAAATTTTCCTAAAACTTTAAATGATCTCTCTCTCTCTCATAACTTGGTAAAAAATAAAGATAAAAATATGTTTAAAAATGCGAAATGAAGTTTGAAATGTCTACTTTAAGAATATTTGAATGAGAATTGTAATGGGCCACTGTTTTCAAAATGGTGGATGACAAAGTGAGAAAATGCAAAATTCGTAATCAAAAGTTTGCGATGATGTATTGTGTGAATCAGATACACAGCTTAACGGGACAACACATACTTGAAAGTATAGAATTTTATCTTTAAATCGCTTTTTTTATCGAGCTCGATATGATGATTTTTCGCTGAGTTATCCCAAATTTAAGATATTGCTGTCATTAGCTCAAATTATGGTTGCAATTCTTTCCAATATGAACTGTATAGAGTTTGAAACGTCATTGTGTATGTGTGTATGCTTACATATGCATGTATGAGCGTGCGGTCTGCTTTTAGCGTTATTCAGAGTTAACGTCGTGGACGTGACAGTAATCTGATCCCGTGTTTATATATGTGTGTGGCTACGTGCATGCGTTTGTGCATATATATTAATAGTGTGTACGATCTCCTGGTGCGCGTCTTATCTCATTCATACAATCCGGCATACTCCTTCCCTGACGAAAATGAGAAATTTCATAAATGTTTGTTTAACGTTTACATGAGCGTTTGCAGGAATTCGTTGAGAATTCAGAAACGGTCAGTAAAGTGTTCGTAAAACGGAAATTGCGACGCTGCAATGTTTGGAAGGCATTCTCTAATGAAAATAAGAAGTTTCATGAATATTTGTTTGACGTTTACATGAACGTTTAGTTCAAGTAAATGTTGAACTACTAAACGTAGACATTTTATAAAAAAAAAGGTATAAAATTGTTCACTGAGAAGTCTCATCATACTGCACCTTTTATCCTATTCGATATGGTTTCTTAAATGCGAGAAATTGAATTTCACTGTGTCCCTCTAGCACTGTGCACTGCTTGAAAATTGGATATATAGAATGTTTGCTAAACGCAAGAAAAACGCTTGTGCTATGGAGTTGAGGAAAACGTTTTTTGGGCGTCTTTAAGCCGTTTGCGTAAACGCCTTACAAAACGTTTACTGAGACTCAATAATTCGCCACATTGGAACAGAGTTTGTTGAACGGAAGAAAAATACTTATCTCACGATATTGAGAAAAGTGTTTGCTATGTATTGAAAAGTCTAACAGTGAACTCTCTGCATCAGCGTTTACTGAGCATCCTTTGAAAAGCGTTGCTTTAGCATTACAGAACTTTCATAAAACGATATATAAGGTAGAGTGGGGTGTTGTGTGCCATGGGGTGTTGTGTGCCGCTTGATTTACCGCCATGTTTAACTAGTATGACGTCATCTGCGTAATGTCAGGTTACTTTGTAGACCTAATCTAACTTTCCATGAGCATCCGACGTTTGTGCGCGCGTCCCACAAGTTTCACGAGTTGTTGTAGTTTCGTTGTGTTACGAAAAGTTTTGTGGACGATTTTTTTTCACGCAATTTTGCAGGCAAGTGAAGCGACAGGTAAATCTTCAGATATTTAAAAGTATCTATGGACTATTGCCTTTAAAATGGTTAAAGTTATTTTGTGTAAATGTAGCGTGTAACGAGGTTATGGTGGCTATTTCGAAATGTAGCATATGGGGTGTTATGTGCCACGGAATATGGGGTGTTGTGTACCACTCCATTTTCGACATTTTACCACGTGTCATTTTACACGAATTATTTGCATTTTTCATGCAAATGTAACGTAATTGTAGTAATTTTTAAGTGAAACTTCATTACTTTTTTGTAATTTTTGTTTCTTTTTCATAGGATTTTCGTAGTCAGCATGCCTCGCAATACTTATAAAAATACGCCGAAGCCAGAGACCAATATTACTGGTACTGACTTATTGTTAGTGCGATAAAAAAGATTGCAATTGAAAATAAATCTATCCGGTCAGTGAGCGAATTATATAATATCTCTAGAATGAAATTGTCTCGGTATATAGAAAATATATATATCCTCTCGATCATCAGAAGAGGAGGACGTCGACTTCTGCATTATTTGTTTGCGCAATATGCCTAAAAAACCTAACAGAAATAACACCATTCATTGCAATGAGTGCGATCGGACTGTTCACCTCAAGTGTGCAAATATGAAAACGGGATATTTCACTTGTTCTCAATGCGAAGCGGCTGAAAGTGATTAAACTTCTTTTTCATTACAATTATACACTTATATTTTCATTTTTTCAAGGTTTAATAAAGAACATTTATAAAAAAAATGCTGTTTTCTACTATTTACAATCGTGGCACACAACACCCCACAAATTTTCAAAATCGTAAATTTACACTTTTTTTCAGAATTATAAAACAATTTCAAAATTTGCGAAATTCAAAAAACTGCCCTTACAGATTCTTCGGCATTGAGATAAGCTACAAATAGGATGTTTAACATTACAACAATATGCATTTTTGAAAAAGTTATGGTTCAAAAACAAAACCCGGTACACAACACCCCACTCTACCTTATTGTATTTTATAAGCGTTCTGAAAGTGTTTTAAAACCCAATGGTGTTCTGTAAGCATTCTTATAAAGTTTGAAAACGTATAAACTTTTAAAAAATCGTCATCGAATGGTTGTCAACGTTTTATAAAGCTCCGTATTTTCGCCAGGGTTCATAACTTAGAACATACATATGGAAGGGCCATACCGTATCTAACCAATGTAATAAAAGTGTCTGCAACATATGTCTGTCCTTGTCTAAATGCTTGTTTGCTGTGCGCTTGCGCATGATTTATATG